ATGAACATTGGGGTGTGCATGTATCTTTTTGAATTAGTGTTTTCACTTTCTTCAGATATTTACTCGGGAGTTGAGTTGCTGATCATATGGTAGTTCTATTTTTAGATTTATGAGGAACCTCCTTACTATTTTCCATAGTTGCTGCACCAATTTACATTCTCATCAATAGTGCCCAAGAGTCCCTTTCTCCACATTCTTGACAACATTTGTTATTTGTACTCTTTTTTATAAGAGTCATACTGACAAGTGTGAGGTAATATCTCACTGTGGGTTTGATTTGTAGTTCTCTGATGATTAGTGATGTTGAGCATCTTTTCATGCGGCCTGATGGCCACCTGTATGTCTCCCTTGTAAAAATGTCTATTCAGGTCTTCTGCCCATTTTAGTTGGGTTGTTCGGTTTTTTGACATTGAGCTGTACGAGCTGTTCATATATTTTGAATATTAATCACTTACCAGTCACATCCTTTGCAAATATTTTCTGCCATTCAGTAGGCTGTCTTTTCATTTTGTCAGTGGTTTCCTCCTCTATGCAAAAGCTTTTAAGTTTAATTAGGTCCCATTTATTTTTGCTTTTGTTTCCTTTGCTTTAGGAGGGATATCCCAAAAAAATATTGCTACAATTTATGTCAAAGAGTGTTCTGCCTATGTTATCTCCTAGGATTTTATGGTTTGCTGTCTTACACTTAGGTCTTTAATCCATTTTGAGTTTAGTTTTGTGTATGGTATGAGAAAATGTTCTAATTTCATTCTTTTACAAGAGCTGTCCATTTTTCTCAGCATCATTTCTTGAACAGACTGTCTTTCCCCCACTGCATACTCCTGCCTCCTTTGTATTGGATTAATTGACCATAAATGTCTGGGCTTACTTCTGGGCTTTCTATTCTGTTCCACTGATCTATGTGTCTGTTTTTGTGCCAGTACCATATTGTTTTGATTACTGTAGCTTTGTAGTATAGTCTGAAGCCAGGGAGCATGATACCTCCTGATGATCTCAAGATGGCTTTGGCTATTTGGGGTCTTTTGAGTTTTCATACAAATTTTAGAATTATTTGTTCTACTTCGGTGACTAATCCTATTGGTACTTTGATATGATGGCATTAGATATGTAGATTGCCTTGGGTAGTATGGTCATTTTAGCAATATTACTTCTTCCAATTCATGAACACTGTATTATCTTTCCATCTGCGTCATCTTCAATTTCTTTCATCAGTATCTTAGAGTTTTCCGAGTACAGAGTAAATCTCCTTAGATTTATTCCTAGGTTTGTTTTTTGTTTTTGTTTTTTTGATGTTATGGTAAATGGACCGTTTTCTTAATTTCTGATAGTTCATTGTTAGTGTATAGAAATGCAACATATTTCAGCATATTAATGTTGTATTTTGCAACTGTACTGAATTCATTGATGAATTTTTGGTGGCATCTTTATAATTTTCTATGTGTACTGTGTGTCACCTGCAAACAATGACAGTTTTACTTCTCTCTTTCCAATTTGGATTTCTTTTCTTTCTTTTTATTGTATGACTGCTGTGGCTAGGACATTCAGTGCTATGTTGGATAAAAGTGGCGAGAGTGGGCATCCTTGTCTTGGTCGTGTTCTTAGAGGAAATGCTTTCAGCTTTTCACCATCGAGTATGATGTTAGCTATGGGCTTATCATATGGCCTTTACTATTTTGAGGTTTGTTCCCTCTGTCCCTACTTTGTTGAGAGTTTTAATCATAAATCGATGTTGAATTTTGTCAAAAATTTTTTCTGCATATATTGAGATGGTCATGATTTTTATTCTTCAATTTGTTAATATGGTTTATCATATTGATTGATTTGCAGATATTGAACTATCCTTGCATCCCTGGGATAAGCCCTGCTTGACCATGGTGTATGATCCTTTCAATGTATTGTTGATTTCAGTTTGCTGATATTTTGTTGAGGATTTTTGCATCTATGTTCATCAGTGATATTGTCCTGTACTTTTCTTTTTTTGTGGTGTGTTTGGTTTTGTTATCAGGGTGATGCTGGCCTTGTAGAATGAGTTCAGAAGTATTCCTTCCTGTGCAATTTTTTAGAATAGTTTGAGAAGGATAGGTGTTAACTCTTCTCTACATGTTTAGTAGAATTCACCTGTGAACACATCTGGTGCTGGACTTTTGTTTGCTGGGGGTTTTTTGTTACTGACTCAATTTCAATGCTCTGGTAATTGGTCTGTGCATATTTTCTATTTATTCCTTGTTCAGACTTGGGAGACTGTGTATTTCTAGGAATTTGTCCATTTCTTCTAGGTTGTCCATTTTATTGGCATATAGTTGTTCACAGTAATCTCTTATGATCCTTTGTTATTTCTGTGGTGTTAGTTGTAACTTCTTTGCCATTTCTGATTTTATTGATCTGGGCCCTCTCTCTTTTTTTCTTGATGAATCTGGCTAAAGGTTTATCAATTTTGTTTACCTTTTCAAAGAAATAGCTCTTAGTTTCATTGATCATTTCTATTGTTTTCCTAGTCTCTCTACTTCATTTATTTCTGTTCTGATCTTTATGATTTCTCTCCTTGTGCTAACTCTAGGTTTTGTTTGTTCTTCTTTTTCTAGTTCATTTAGGTGTAAGCTTAGGTTGTTCCTGAGTTTTCTTGTTCCTTGAGGTAGGCTTGCATCTCAGTAAACTTTCCTTAGAATTGCTTTTGCTGCATCCCATAGATTTGGATTATTGTGTTTTCATTTGTCTTCAGGAGTTTTTTAATTTCTTTTTTGATTTCAATGATACAGTGGTTGTTTAGCAGCATTTTCTTTAGCCTCCACATGTGTGTTTATGTTTTTTTCAATTTTTTTCTTGCAGTTGATGTCTAGTCTCATAGTGTTGTGGTTGGAAAAGATGCTTGATATGATTTCAGTTTTCTTAAATTTACTGAGACTTATTTTTGGCCTAGCATGTGATCTGTCCTGGAGCATGTTCCATGTGCACTTGAAAAGAATGTGTATTTTGCTGTTTGGGGATGGAAGTCCATTAAGTTCATTTTGTCTAATGTGTTGTTTAAGACCAGTGTTGCCTTATTTTCTGTCTGGATGATCTGACGAATGATGTAAGTGAGGGGTTAAAGTCCCCTAGTACTATTGTGTTACTGTCAATTTCTCCCTTTATGTCTATTAATATTTGCTTTATTACTGCTGTATTTTCTTCTTGGATTGATCTCTTGATCATTATGTAATGTCCTTCTTTGTCTCTTGTTACAGTCTTTGACTTAAAGTCTACTTTGTCTGATATAAGTATTGCTACTCCAGCTGTTTTTTGATTTCCATTTACATAGAATACCTTTTTCCATCCCCTCACTTTAAGTCTGTGTGTGTCTTCAGAACTGAAGTGAGTCTTTTGTAGGCAGCATATGTATAGTTCTTGCTTTTGTATCCATTCACACGTTCTATGTCTTTTGATTGGAGCATTTAGTCCATTTACATTTAAAGTAATTATTGATAGGTATGTACTTATTGCCATTTTGTTAATTGTTTGGGGATTGTTTTTGTAGTAACTTTTTTGTTCCTTTCTTCTTTTGTTCTCTTCCCTTGTGATTTGATGACTAGTGTTATGTTTAGGTTTCTTTCTCTTTCTTTTGTGTATATCTATTACAGAATTTCAGTTTGTGGCTACCATGAGGTTTTTATGTATAAATCTCTATATTATTATTTTAATTTGCTGTTTTAATTTCAAATGCATTTTAAAAACCCTGCATTTTACTCCCCTCCCCCCATTTACTGTTATTGACATCATATTTTACATCTTTTGGTTTTGTGTGCCCCTTAACTACACATTTCAGATATAAATGATTTTACGACTTTTGTCTTTTAACCTTCCTGTTGTTGTGTTGGTTAGATTCTGACAGGGCAGGCTGCAGTGCTGTGGTGGTCCTGAGGCTGGTGTCTGCCCACTGGTGGGAAGGGTTGGGGTCCCGGGGATCCCAGGGCTAGTACCCGCCCACCAGGAGGTAAAGCTGGGTTCTGGGGCTTGGCTGGCTAACTGATAGGCAGAGTTGTGTCCTGGGGTCTCTGGCTGCAGGGCCCGGGATCCCAGAGCAGGTGTCCGACTACTGGTGGGTGGGGCTGGGTCCCAGGATATCCAACTACAGGGCCCTGGGTGTCCTTGAGCTGGTTTTAGCCCACTGGTATGCAGGGCCGGTTCCTAACACAGTTGGCTGCAGAGTCCTAGGTGTCCTAAAGCTTGTGAGATTTCCTGGTAGGTGGGGCTGCTTTCTGGGGAAGCTGGCTGAGGGGGCCAAGATGTCTCAGTGCTGGTGCCGGCCTGCTGGTGGGTGGGCTGGGTCCTGCCATGGCAGGCTGCGGGGCTGCGGTGGTCTTGGGGCTTGGGTCTGCCCACTGGTGTATATGGCTGGAGCCCAGGATGTCCTGGGGCTGGTACCTGCCCACTGGTGTGTGAGGCTGGTTGAGAGGCTACAGCCAGCTTGCTGGTGGGCAGGGCCAGAGCCCAGGGGGGTCTTGGGGCTGGTACCTGCCCACTGGTGGCTGGAGCTGGGTCCTGTGGTCTCCGGATGCAGGGCCCTGGGGTTCCCAGGGCTAGTGCCTATGCACTGGTATGTGGAACTGGGTCCTGGTCCCTCTGGTTGCTATGGGCTCAAGGGGTCTTAAGGCAGCCTGGCCGCTGGTGAGTGGGGCTGTGTCCCCACCCTGTTAGTTGCTTGGCCTGATGCATCCCAGCACTGACCCAGCAGGGCCAGGTCAGGCACTAATAACCTAGAGGGAGGATTCCAAATGGTGCTTACCAGCACCAGCGTCCATGTGGTAGAATGAGCTCCCCCAAATGGCTGCCACCAATATTATATTAATTTATGTGATTAAAATTTAGAATAATATTACCTTCAGAAAATAAATTAAGTAACATATATATAATTTAATGCTTAAGAATTTCAGAGATTAGCTTAAGAATAAAAAGACACTTAGGTTTTTTGCTCTATAACGACAACCTGCAGAATTAAAATCAGACGCTTAGAACAGAAATCTTACCTGTTCGCTTATTTCTGTCCACATAACAATACTTTAACTCATAGTCTTGTAATAAATCATGAACTTCCTGAAAGAGACAAAACATGAACTCAATAAACACATGAATGCAGTTAGTAGATGATCCAGCTGTAGCAGCCGAGCACCATTACCATCACCATCCCCCATGTAAAAAACTCTTCTATGGATCTCCATCACTTATTTAAATTAAAGGCATTCAGGCCCACCAGATATGGCACCAACCTACCACTGCAAATACATCTTCCAATATATCCCTACACATGCCCATATTCCTGCTCAGATGAACACTCATTCTCTCATGAGTATACCATGCACAATCCTCATTCTGAATTACGCTGACACCTCGATCTAGCATGGGGCAAACATACCACTACAGCTCCCAAACTTCATCTAGAATCACATGCTTCCTTTGAAATCCCAGCTCAAATGTTCTTCCATGAAGATTTTTCCAATTCTTTTCCACAGAACATCACCTCTCCCACCACTATGCTAACAATGGTCATACTTTATTTATGCCTCTCTTACACAAATAATATGAAATGTTTCTACTTGTGTTCTACATACTGAGTTTTTAACAAGTGTTACACCTGTAGATGGTAATACCAGCATGTAGAAGAAATAAATATAAATTAAAACCTAATTTAGAGATCCCTGGGTATGAAAACAAGTAACAACCACCAAGGTATGGTATGTAGTCCAATTTATTTCCCCTTGGCTCCCCAAGATGTTTAAACTGGCTTTCTTGTTTGTTCAGTTTCTATTGCTAATCCAGTCTGAACTTTTAAACTGTGATATCATAACTTCCATCCACCTGGGAAAATACAGTATATTTCCTCTGTATTTCTCCAATCCTTTCTGTTAAACTGATAATACTTGAGTACAAGAACTATATTTATCTGTATATTATATATATTGCTTTGAGCATACTAGGCACTCACATAAACATTAAAGTGAATATAATTTATTTTGTCACTGACTTGATATTAAGCCTTGAAAATTTTACTCATAATATACAACCGATGTAGTTATTATTTTTTAAAGGAATTGAACTATCACATAAGTGGACATTTGGACCCCAGGTGAGACAGTGGTACAGCCAACCTGTTCTATATTACAAATGAACACACTAAACAGACGTAAGCGCTAGGATGTTAAGTTTGCAACCTAAACTAATTAATTCAGTAATATAATAATTCTTATTACTGATATTTTTATAGTTAACATTCATTTAGTTTTTACTAGGTAGCAGAACACTGAACTTACTCCTTTCATTAAAAAATCAGGAAACCAGAGCAGAGCAAATTCAAGTAACTTGCCAAAGCTTACACTCAGTAAGTTGCTGAGTATAGATTCACCAGTTGGCTTGGTTCTAGGGACAACACTCTTACCCTCTATGCTATACTGCCTTATTTCTTCCAGGATTAACTGAAATAGTATACTACCACAGTTAGTTATAAAACCAACACCACAATGTCCGAATAAGTGATCATATGGAAATGGAAAATAAGTAAGAGGACAGTTACAAGTTGAGAAACATTTTCTCTTTCAATCTTTCAATCCAACGTAAGGGAGTGGGGGAGACTGATATAATAGGCAAAGTATAAAAATAGTGCTGGGTGAAACAAAGACAATCATCTTTGAGATAAGAAAGATAAGAAAGGTAAAGGTGATAATTTAGTATTCTTTATCAGTAAGTCAATATTAGAAATGTTTTAAAATATATATACTTATCAATTGTGCAAAATATTGTTTGATGAATTACATAGTAATATGATCAACATACAGATTAGTTTATATATTACTGCTATGGTAATTTTTTGTCTTGTAAGCTTCAATATTTTCTTGAACTTAAACAACAGTGTATTGCTCATTAAGTAAACATAACTCTCTCAGCAGCATACCATATATATTTTGCCAATCAGCTAATTTAATATTATACTTTATATAGAAGGTGACACAGTTTTGTTTGAAAGGATCCAGTGTGTGCTTTTAGTTGCACAAACTTTAATCTCTCATTTCACTAGTTAACAGCTGTCAAATGCCAGATAAAGAAAACATGATACTGCTCTTCACTTGATCAAGTCTCCGTAAACAATTGACATGTTATATTACTCATTTAGCTAACAGAACCACCTAAGTTTTCAAAGATGCATTTTGCAAGTTGGAAATTTTATTTTTAAAACACCCATATTTCTAATCATAGCTTTCCTATGTATCAGACGTGGAATACAGATTTTGCCAACTGGGAAACTTTACAAAGCTTCCTGCAAAGAAAAAAACAATTATTTTTCTCCATGCCCTGGTTGCCTTGACCCAGGCAAAAGTGGGTCACCCCTCAACTTGAGCCTCGGCAAGTTGGCCAAATTAAAAACTTAAAACCTGAAAGAGAGTCCTAACAACCATTTGCCAAAATTCTACTGTGCTCCACACCACACAAAACCAAAAGGACTAAAATTATGTCTCCCTGTTCTAATCTAGTTTTATGACACTTTCAACTTACAAGCTAACTTTAAGGAATGAAGTTGCACCTTTGATGCAAATACTTTGTCCTCTGACTAGCAATATCAGTTACACATTTCTTACAGTAAGATGAGCTCATCGAAATTGGTAATTGTTAGATAGCTTTAGTAACCTATTTCCAGACCCGATTCACCATCACCCCCTGGAATTAAATGAAAAGTTTTCCACATATGAAATGTTTTCTGGGGAGAGGTTTAATAGCTTTCAACTCAAAGCAGTTTGTTAATAACCCCTCAAAAGTCAAACAACCATTGTTCTAGCTGGTGTGGACTTCCTCCTGAATGAAACCCAGCCTTAGTTTTAAACTTGAATCACACTGTCTTCCAAGCCCTTTGCAGACTTATGTTCTAAAAAGGGCTTTCATAGATTAAAGCACTTTGCTTTTAAATTCCACTTTTTTGGAATGAAAAAAATATTTTTATTTATGTTCTTTTAAAATTGTAAGTGATTTGATAATACAAAAGGATTATCTGTAACATATATTATGAGGCATAATAATGAAATAAGCACCCAGGAGCTCAACACCAAACTTAAAGACTAGGACATTGGCAACACTGTTCCACCTAACTATGCCTTCCTGCACTAGCCCATCCCCCATAGCTGGAGTCCTCAGGCAGCTTTGTATCCCCAAATAATACATTGTTTTGGTTTGTTTCTGAGCTTTATAAAAATGGTATTATGCTATTTTTAATCTTCTTTGCCTTGCTTTTTATACTCAATATTATGTTTCTAAAATTCACTCATGATCCACATGGCTACTGTTCATTTATTCACTATGGTTTAACGTTCCGTTCTGTGATTTTAGTATGGTTTGCATATCTATTTTTCTATCAGTGAATATCTGATTTGTTTCCAGGTTGTTGCTATTTTGCTACTGTTTGCTATTAAACTACTGTCACCTTCTTGTAAATTTTACGTATCTCCTGGTGTTCCTGTGCAAAAGTTTCTGAAAGTGGGAAATTCCTGGGCTATACACACTCAAAGGATCGTCTTTACAAGAAAGGGCCAGCTTCTTTACCAGAAAGATTGTTACAGTTTACATTCCCATCGATGGTATATGGGAGTCCTTACAATGCCTGGTCTCATCAGACACTTAAATTTTGTCAATTTAGTGGATAGAAAATCATACCTCCTTGTGCTCTTGATTTGCATTCCCTGGATTAATAAGGCAGGGCATTGTGATGGTTAGTTTTGTGTGTGAACTTGGCTCCAGAATCCAGTTCTTAAGTAATCTACGTGTTGCTGCAAAAGTATTTTCTAGATATGGTTAATATCTACAATCAGTTTACTCTAAGTGAAGGAGATCACCTTGGATAATGCAGGTGGGCCCCATCTAGTCAGCTGAAGAGCTTAAGAGAAAAATCGAGATATTCTGGAGAAGAAATCCTGCCTGAAGACTGTAGCATCAACACCTGCCTGAGTTTCTAGCCTGCTGGTATACCTCACAGATTTTAGACTAGCCAGCCCTCACAATCAATCAATCAATTTCTCTATGTATGTATGTAGTATAAATACATATTAATATAAATTTTATATACGTTTCTCAGAAGAACTCTGATACAGGTATTTTTCATATTTGTTTACCATTTATTTCCTCTTCTGATAAACATTTACTTATCTTTATTGCCCATTTTTCTATCGTTTATATTTTCTTTTTTTTTTTTTTTTTTTTTGCGGTACGCGGGCCTCTCACCACTGCAGCCTCTCCCGTCGCGGAGCACAGGCTCCAGACACGCAGGCCCAGCGGCCATGGCTCACAGGCCCAGCCGCTCCACGGCATGTGGGATCCTCCCAGACCGGGGCACGAACCCGTGTCCCCGCATCGGCAGGCGGACTCTCAACCACTGCGCCACCAGGGAAGCCCTATATTTTCTTTTATTGACATGTAGAATTTTTAAAAAATATTTTGGATACTAATTCCTTGTTGGGAAGCATATTATATATGTATTCCCCTAGTAAGTGGTCTGTCATTTTATTTGTGGGTACTTTTGGTAAAGAGAAGTTTTTCATTTAATGAAGCCAAATGTATCAGCTTTTTCCTTTAGAATTTGTTTTTTGTGCCTTAAGAAATCCTTTCCTACCCAAGGTCATACGATAGTTTGTCTTCCAAAAGTTTTTAAATTTTTTTCTTTCACTTATCAGTTTTTAGTCAGCTGGAGTTAGCCATATTATTCTAGCCATAATTTCCAGTTCAATCTTGAATAGAAGTGATTCTGGTATTGCTCCTAACCTCAAAGGGAAATTTTTCAATATTTCACCATGGAACATGATTGCTTTTGGTTTCTCTAGATAATCTTTAAGTTTGAGGAATTTGTATTCTATTCCTGTTTGCTATGAGTTTTTATTATGAATGGGTGTTAAATGTTATCAAATGCTTTTTCTGCATCTACTGAGATGACTTAAGTCCCATCTTCATGCCAGTGATCTCCAAATTTTTATCTCCACCTCAAATTTCTCTCCCGGACTCCACACCTATACAAGCTATTGCTTGCTCAGAACTGCATTTGAATGTTACACACCAGATAATAC